ACATGTTTACGCCCTAACCTGTATCTTCATGGCCACCTCCCTGCCGTCCTTCATCCTCGCCAGGTGCACCTGCCCGATGGAGGCGGCTGCAAACGGACGATCCTCGAACGACGCCAGCTTGTCCCTCCAGTTTGGACCCAAGTCGCTGTTCAGCGCCTTCTGCACATGGAGAAAAACAAATGTCTTGTTCCCCTCATTTTAAGTGATTTTAAATGAATAGTAGGAGTACAGTTACTTCATCCGGCAATTGAAAATTCCAATCAGATCCCAGATTAAAGAAACAAACTTTGTTTAGAAAGTTTTTTTTTTTTTTTTTTTAAGTAATCCTCAATCTTCTTCTCAGACCTTTACACTTTAACACAGTTCCCATACGGATGCAAATGTCCACTTGGGAACTTCGGATTGATGAATAACTCAGTCAGAAGCTAGCCTATGAGGATTTAGCATGGCGAGTTGAGCAATTCTTCACCGGCGCAGGCAAAGCGTATGCATAGCGTAGCATAAGTCTGTCATTTGTCAAGTCTTTGCCCGTCATATATGTACATCTCATCATATATATTTAAACTCATGATTATCCATACACCTAACACAGATAACAGAATTAAAGTTATCAAGTTTCTTTTCTGGTAGCGAAGGCAAATACGTGGTACAAGGAAACTTTATTTGCATTTTAGCAAAGATACAATGTTGAAAATGCACACCCAACTTAATAATAAATGAAAAAGTCTCATCAATTACAGAAATAAAATCCTTCTTATAAAGCGACTTTTAGCTTCTTTCTACTGATATTTTAACTCTTAATCTAAGGGGTCCTTGTCATCACCCTAATCTTTTTATCCCTATAAAAGTTCCCTATCCGATTCAAGTCTAGACTCTGGTTCCACCACTTCAAAATGCTAATATTATTTTCAATCATTAGAAACATGTTGGTGAATTTAAAAAACTGATTTAAATCTAAATCTTTAAGTTTAACGTAAAGCTGGGTGTATGACTAATTTGCATTCATCCGTAAATATGAAGGTTTTTGCTGGAGAGAAGACACTTACTGTCATCTGTTTGATTGGCATGAAGTCGGCGCTCTGCCTGACACGCTCAAAGATCTTGGCGAGTTGAGGATTGATGAACGCATCGTCTAAAACACACAGAAACACAAAATGTTCCTCAGCAAGACATGGAAACTGAACTGAAAATTTGCAAAAGACACATTTTTTCAAAAAAGTACTGGACCTAAGGTTTTTTTAAGATTATAATAATTATATCAACAGGCACACAGAACAACATAAAATCTCACATGCCTACTGGGGAAATAAATCCTGATAAGCAGATTAACTGAGGAGGTATAGGAGCTCCAGACGTTTTGGCGAAAACTGCGCTCTACTTGGCAGCGACTGCGACTATTATTAACCTTTGAAACAGCTGGGACCTCTGAAGGTGAGCACTATTTTGGACTTGTGGTGAAAGGGAACAACGGCAGCATTCCCGCTGTGACAGATAAACGTCAGCAGAGGGCAGCGATTTTTATTGATTCACTCAGCTTATCTGCACCATTTACAGGATCTGAGGCCGAGGACCGCCTCCGTCATTATTTAGGAATCACCGGTTTAAAGATAGCCGCCCCGGCTCTGCCATCCGTGTGCGCCAGGTCTGAACCTGACAGGAAAACAGTGGGAAGATTATGTCCTTTTTGCTTGAGTACGTACGGCTATGTTTACTCATTCCCTGAATTGCGCTTTCCAAGTTTGGACCAGCATGTTTATGGTGAACCTGAATACCACAGGAGGGAGCTAAGCAGGACAAGGTCGAGCTGTGGGACAGGCCAGCGGTGGTAAACAAATTCAGGACGAGGTGTTTATTGCCGTTACCTGAGCTGGGTTCATAACTTCGCCGCAAGCCTGTCTGCTGCGGTTAGCGGTGTACTTTAATTATCTGGAGATTGCTTGAAAGCAAATAAACCTGTAACCCACAGGCAGGTCAGTGTCGGTGCAAAAAGCTCCGACGGAGAAATAACGCAGACACGGCCATAAAACATCTGTGTTTTCATTCCTTTTGCACAATCAGCTCGAAAGGAATGCATCCCGTTGACGAAAATGAATTTTAAACACATTAAGGACATCGATCCCCCCGTCGACATCTTCTAAAACACTTTGTGAATCACAAACACTATCGTGAGGCTTTGAATAAAGTTCTCGAGAATAAACGTTATTAATTTAATGTTCTGCAGCTCACCTTGGATACTTAGAGCTTGTCCAAGTTTGAGAGCGGCTCCTCTGACTTTGCACAAGGTCCTGACGATGCGCTCAGCGTTGGCCTCGGACAGGAAGGGGCTGGAGTCCAGAACGGCTTTCTTATTTTCACCTGGGGAAAAAAAATAAACAAAAACATTTTATTTGGGTTTCATAGATGTAGGCTTGAATGAAACAGCAGAGGATTCTGATTCACATCTGGCAGGTTTTCATTAAAAACAGATGTGATGAAACCGGTCAAATTCACAAAGTGTAACTTTTTTTCCGCTACGTTTAGGAGCGATTAAACGGGTTTTCTGTTCTATGACTGTCTCGGATTTTGTTAGAGGACATCAGTGAATCAAGAGACGCAGCTGAGGGGTGAAGGAGAAATCAGTGGGGGATGTTTATAGCAGAGTTGTCTTATAAAACAATATCTTTAACCCTCGAACATCTCACAGTTCTGTTTCCAATTTTCCACAAAACTACGTAGCAGACACGGTGAACACCCGGGCAAAAACGTTGCAAAATGACGCAAAAGCTCTGAACGGTCTGACAACTTGGTTTGGCCACAGACAAAATAAGCCTGACAAGCTGGATTCTCTCATATTTCTGTAAAAGTAAACAAGGAATGTCCTGAGTTTGGGAAAAAAAAAAAAAAAGTGTCTGAACCCGACCAAACATTACAGATATTTTAAAAAGGTGCAGCTTTCTCGCTCCCAACCTCGTCCAGAACAGAACACGACCCGCTGTAGTTGTAAACATGTGGGGACGACAGTCCGCCGGGCGTCGTTTACAAAAACGCGCCGAGGCGGGGGAGTGATTGTGCGTGTTTATGTCAGTGGGCCATCAGGTAGACACCTCAGGAGGCTTTGGCAAAGATTTACCCATCGTTCGGAGCGTTCTCGCTGGGATTAGAGAATAAATGTAGATAAAAATACCGGCCAGCAGAAGCACAAAAGCCTGGGATTTACGCCGGGCAGCTCTGTTACAGCTTAGGATTAGTAGGTCATTGGAACAGAGAGGCAGCGCTTGCTTAAGAGGCGAGCTCATCGGGGAGGCGGTTTTTGAAATATGCGTAACATGTGACGACGTGCATGAGAGACGACGAGATGTTTTCATCTCGAGTGGAGAAGAACGCATAACATGCGATGCATGTCTTAATGTAGACACTCAAAACATTAATATTCACACCAGAATAATAACTTCGACGTGTTCACTGTACCTGCAGCTCCGTTCATTCCGATGCTCTTCTTTGCGACTTCTGCCAGGGCTCCAATACCTAAACCCACAGCTAAACCTGTGCAGAAACAGAGACGCACACACAGATATTCCATTAAATTCATTTATAAAGAAATAAAACATCGATGCATTTTTACACGTAGGTACAGATTACACTCAAAGCAGCAGGGACACTAGAAAAAACAAAAAAAACGGCGCCATGCAGTGACCTGAAAGAGCTTTTCAGTCAAACTGCAAGCATGTAAACATGGAGCGTTTCTCTGTGTGCAAAAGTTCGGCGCTTAACTCTGGCCAATGAAAGCTCCGCCGTGGAGCAGAGCAATGCAAACCGAGCCGCTTCCTTTGAGGAACCTATCTGTTGATAGTAAAAACACAAAGCAGACGACTGTTTGTGTACAAGTTCCTCCATGTCGAGCTTTCACCTTACGTAACCTCGCATTACGTAATCTGGTAGTCGGTGCGGACAACAAATCTGAGCCGTGTCGCTGAGCGTGGATAAAAAAAAAAAAAAAGGAGGACGCTGTGCGTCTTTACCGCCCGACATGCAGCCCGATGTCCTCAGCAGTAATCGCGGCCTAAATGTACGGAGTCTGAATACGTGAATCCAGCACAACGCTGTTCTTTTAATGCTGATGTTAGAGGCAAAACAAAAGACGGACTCCTAATCGTGCAATTAGAGGCGAGTATGAATACATCTCTCTAAGGTCAGTGTGTCCTCATCCCTGTCTGACAGGCACTTTTCCAACTCGAGCACAAGCGTCTGTCCATCATCTGATCCGACGGAGCAGCAATGCGTTTACAAAAATACTGCTCTGTGTATGTGCTCTGCCAAACGCCGTCAATTAACTATTATTTACACAAGACAATTTCGAATACAGCTGGTATGAAATGAATACATCTATAGTTATTTAAAGATGGCTGCTATTTATAAAACATATGTTAGACAGTAACATTTAAAACACCTTAAATAACAATTTTAAGTCGTACCATAAAAGCACATGCAGTTATTGCAATATTTATTTGCATTATTAAAGGAAGGAACAAGCACAGCTCCTGCCACAGCTGCAGATAACCAAACAGCTCCTAATGAGCAAAAGGTTTATCAAGGAAGAATATGGGCGGGTTTTATTTTAATGACTGTACTTCAAATGAGTTCTCTGTAAACTAAATAACTTCATATGTGGGTCTTTTTTTTATTAATCAGTGTAGACTAATTTGGTGACACTTGGAAATAAACATCCGTGTCAGAGTATCAGCATTGAAATCACCTAGTCTATCTTTTTCACAAAGATCACAGATCAGAGCATACACACAGCAAACTTTTATACCCCTGTTGGGGTACCTGTTTGCTAGGTTTCCAAGCCACTGAACTCAGACATCATGTAGTCCAATTTCCTTCTTATCACTGGCTAAAGAACCATACAAATCTTCACTTGTGCACTCAAAATTAATCTGGAGACATGCAGCAACTTTTATCTTAGACTTACCCAACAATTCCATAATTCTATGTTTTTTTATTTTTATTTTTTTTTTTAGATATGCAAGATGATTTTCTCACTCAAAAAGTCCTCAAAACCCTCAGCAAAATCTTTGACGTCAGTGAAAATCACGGCAACGGCAAGAAGACATCGGAGCTAGGTTGTAGCCAGGGAAAGAAGCCAACCGAGTCATGACTATAAACCTTGATACTGTTTTTGTTTTTCCTTCTCCCCGTATTAAAATGTGTACATTTTCCACACACGGCTGTGTGAAAGGCAATGAACCTGTTGATGTTTCTTACCGACCATTACTGGAGAGCGAAGGACGAGCAGAGGCCACGTTGCTAAACCTGCTCTGCCCACACTTTTCAACACCTTCTAAGTGTCACGATCGTCGACATGCTGAATCAGCTACCCGCCGCATGGCGTTGCGGCCCCAGTGGGTCCCGCTGGACTGGAAACGAGCTGCAGCTAAATTCTGACGCCCGTGTTTGTGTCGGCCGCGTCCTCTCCCAAATTTATCCCAGATCGCTCTGGGTTTAACTTTTGCTCGCCGTGTAGTCGCTTTCAAAGTTCCGGTTTAAAGCTGACGACAGATTGTCGTGTATACAGCATCTTAAATTAAGCTACAAGCTACAGACTGGATGCGCTGTAATCTGAGATTTTCCCCATTCGTCTGTGATTAGTCTGAGATAGATAAACTACAGGGTGTTGAGGATTCTCTGTAACATTCGCAGCATTTACCCCGGAGGCGATGAGGTTAAGAACCGTCATTACAGGAGCGTTTTAGACTAGAAGATAAAAAGTCTGTAATGTTCTGTTACTGATCTTGTAACACCGTGATCCCGTCACGTAATGATTGTGAAGCCAGCGGCCCAATCTTAAAGGAGTGAAAGACCAACTCGAGTAATAAAATTACTCCGGTGAAGCTTGACCAACGTTTAACACCGCCTGTTCGAGACAAAGAGGACCCCGTCCTATCGGGTCTAGTAGCCATGACCCAGTTATCGGTATCAGGAAGGAAGGAAATAAGGAAAAAGGAGAAAAGGGGCACGAGGGAGTAAAGACAGAAAAATCCAAGGATTACAAGAAAGGCAAAGTCTGACATTTGAAAATATTTCAACATGAACAGTCATGACGCGGCAACTAAAATTAATCTACCGGCTACTCTTCTTACGGTAAAGGAATTTCAAAACTACATCTGGCGAGCTCCCAACAGCGCATTTGTTATTGCAGCCAGCTACTGGCAAGCATATCGCCTCAGTAATCAACCAGTTAATATCTGCTTGTCTTCCTCATAAACGGATATCTCTAACTCCAGCCCTCCAGGGCCTGTTAACCGCAACTTTTACACGCGTCTCTGCTTCAGCACGCCTCGTCCTAATAACTGGACCGTCAGCGGGAGGCCGCAGAACAAACAGGAGACATGCAGAGTCGGTAATTTGGCCGTTTGTTTCGAGGCTCCGTGGACTTGCGGTTAAAGATCCGTGGAAGACATCAAAAAGATTTTATATTCTTTACTGAAAAATTTTAATTGGGTGGCCTGTCTAGTGAATGTTAAGCTAATATACAGAGTAGATGCCAATATACCTGTAATTACCAGTATGTTACATTATTTCCTGTTTGATTAGGAATAATTGTTGCTTTGAAAATGAAAATCGATTAGATTGTGTGTGTTCATTTTTGTTCTAAATTTCTGCTTCAATACCAGATGTATGAACCATTTAGTCAGGGTTATGACCCCTCAAAGGAGTCTGCTGATAATAGTTTTTATTTATTCTTTCATAAACATGATCTAATCATTGTGGTTGTAAGGATATTTGTTGCAGCTGTGAACCCGGAAAGGACTCTAGCAGTAATATAATCTAGCTCACTTATTGGGTTGTTTTTTTGCCATGGTTACAGCCTGCTGCTGATGTACGTGCACACTCGCAGGAGGGCACCCATGACCGCAGATGTAGTCAGACCGACAGCCGATGAGTCACCCGCAGACTCAGACGCAGTAATCTGGTCGTACCTCCAAAGTTGGCCAATCTGCCGAGCCGGGTCACAGGCACCTTCCTCTCTCTGGCTTGTTCGCTCAGCTGCGGACGACACAAAAGTGACGAAACCTTCGCATCACGTTGTTAAACCGGGAAGCGCAAAGCTGATGTTTGCCAGGAGTACGAGCGCCAGCTGTTGTTATGGGAACAGGAGTTACCATCTGCTTGTGCGGCTTCGAGTCAGCCCTCTTGCTCTGGCTGGTTTTCTCAATGTCCTCAGCTGTCAGTCCTCCCACTGAGGACTGGTCCTGGTGGTAGCTCCTGAACTGGTGTGGATAATGCCTGCTCAGGCTGTGGTTGTACCGCTGATGTCCAAGGAAATGCCTGTAAAACACGAAAGACATATTATTACCGTTAAATACACAATCCGACAGAAATGTCACTTAAAAATATAGGCTGTTAACAGAAACAGACCTGGCGTGTTGGTGGTAGGATCTTGTGTGACCACTGAACTGGCCGCTTGGATCTTTGTATCCCTCAAACATTGACTTTTTCCCGCTCGTGTTGCTGGTCCCTGCCAACCCGTCAGTACCCGTCTCTGTGTGATGAGCTGTAAAGTCTGCGTGTTCTTCCCTGAACTCCGACGATGCGAACGACGTCTCATCCTGAGGAAAATCCAACTCTGACTCAGAGGTGCTTTGCTGCTGACCAGACAGCTCCTGGAAACCAAAGGAAGACGTACTCGGGTTACAAATCAACTAGCGAGACGCCGCTCTGCCGCAGACTAACCGATTAAACGGAAACTCGCCTGTATTTTCGACATGGCTACAGACAGGCCTTGCTCTGCGGCTGATTGGACGGTCTGGACAGCGGCACCGACGCCTGCAACTCCTGAGTAAAAAAAATAAAATAAAAAATGTCATTAGGAATTTAAAGATGTGTATTTATCCTAAGTTGCTTACAGTTTGGTCTGATATGAAAGTTGTATTTTTCCCTTTTGCCAATCCAATACTATTGACTCGTGCGGTTTGTTGACTTGCCTGAGCTCCAGGTGCAAAACAGCAGGAGACACATTTTGGCAATGGAACAACTGTCCACCAAATCAAGCACAGATGCTGTGAAAGCTGATCTGACACCGTGCATATTTTATACATCACCCAAGCCATATGTTAAGCGTAGCACAAGACACAGAGTTTTACTGCTGCAACACAAAGAGGGATCTTTTCAAACATCAAAAAACATTAACTACATGAATTTTAAACATAATTTTGTACAAAGCTTTGGGTTACGACGCCCTGCGTGACCCCGAGACATCTTACTAGTGCGGCTGTTATGAGCTTATGTTGACTTTCAAAGCTGTAGTCTTTCCCTTCCATTTACCCAACGCCTCCAACTAATACTGCCAATAAATACGTGTTGGATTTTTTTGTTTGTTTTTAAGTACAGAAATCAGTATAGACAAAAGAAGAACCCACTGATAAGGTTCTTGCGAAAGAGATTTTTTTTCCCACAGATTATCATGTTATGAATAACAAACTTCTATGTAATCAAAAAGTAGCGCATAAATGAAGAGGAAAACAATACGTTAATGGCTATGCAAATGTTTTCCAGGAGAAAATTGGTGATGGCAGCATAATGCTGAGGGATATTTTTTTATCTAGAAGAGACGGTGGATGGGGAGAAATAACGGAGGCTGGGTTAAAGGTGAACCAGCAGGAACATAAATCCAATATCACAATTTCAATGGTTTAGATCAAAGCATATTTACATTGCGTTAGAAATGTCCCAGTCATAGTCCAGACCTACAATCCAGCTGTGAATCTGTGAGAAAACCTGAAAACCACAATTCGCAGATGATCTCTGGCCAATCGAACTAAAACTGGAGCTTTTTTTTCCCCCACAGTCACAGTCAGCTAACCAACATGGCTAGCTAAGTAGCATCTCAATTCCCCACATCGTTAAACATCTAATATTTGGTTCCAGGTCCACATACTGCTAAATAACTTGCAAATAAAAAGAAATGTGGGAAAGGTGTTAGAAAGCCGTTACACAGTGTACATACCGGTCCCACTGCGCACGGCGTTGCTCTGGGTCTCCACCACAGCCTGGCTCAACTTGGCCAAGCCTCGCATAAGCAACATCATATCACCCGCCATGATGGTGCTGGACACAGAAAGAACAACAGAGATTAACGCTACCTTATACATTCAGGGGAACATAATAAATTAATACAAATAAAAAACAAAAAACAAAAACACACATTCAGATATGTAACCCCGTCCACAGAAACAAAGACCTGAAGATGGACTAGGAAGCAAATGGAAAGGAATAGAACTTGTCAACACTCTCGTTCCTGCCAATAAGTGAGCTCGCCAACAAACATACACAGCTGTTCTGACTTTAAATCGTCACCTAAAAATACACGCCCTCCACTCTGTCCCCTGCTTGGATGAGAACACACACACACACACAGATTGGGAAAGGCGACTCTTGCTCGGGTGAGCTGTGAATATGCAGTCCAAGACCGAATCTGAAAATGTCACTGGAATTGAAAGGGGAGGAGTGCAAAACAAACGCTGCAGCTATTTCAGGACACCAGTCACTGTAGGTGCATGTGTTTGGTTTATGTTCAAGGCCTGAAGCCGCACTGTACCACTCTCTGAGGTGTTTTTTTTATTTTTTTATATTATTATATATATTTTTTTATATATATATATATATTTTATTATACGAGACTGCTTTCTATTAACCTTCATCTCAAAGCCCTACCACTAAGCAAAACAGATCGGGGTTAATTCAGGCCACAAAGTGAGTCTTATCTAAACAGCAGCGCTTTCATCTGCATTCCTGAGTGTGTCGCAATATTCTACTGCTGTTTTGACACACAGGTGATCCACCGAGGGTGCGACAATGCGCTTTGACACAACACAGTCGAGGCCAAGTGGAAACAGCTCATGCTGCTGAGTCTTAGCAAAATGTGAGCATGCGTGAAGCGCTATACATACACTGGCAGTCGGTAATTAGGTCATCTCCCTGCTTCAGGCCTGTTCTGTGTATACTTTACAACTCATGTGAACATGGGTGGGGAAAAAGAAAAAAAAAAAAAAAACAAACTTAATCATCTATCTTATCAGAGTAGTATTGTTTAACGTGTATTAGTCGGACTTTTGATCACGGCAAGAGGCCGCGGCTTTTGTTTTGGTTCTACAGGACCGGGAGGTAAAAGCAGTGAACCGTCATTTTCAGGGAACAAATCTGTTCATTCACAAATAAAAAGCTGACTAATAACATGAGTTATTATGGGGTTCTATGTTTTTTTTTCTTGTTTTTTTTTTTTGCAAATATCACCAAAAATGGTAGTAAATAAAGGCTGAAATTAGATTCACAAATTAAGCGATTGCTAATTGTATAGTTGCCTTACTAAGAGTGAATATTTTATAATAATTTTATGGTTGGTAGTTATTTCCAGGAAAATCCATTAAGTGCCAAGAGTGACCACTTTCTGGTCACACTGCAGAGTGAGGCAGCGATGCCCCTCCCCCACCTGTTGCTTGCTGTGCGTTTCAATCAAAGAAGGCTTTCATAGTTTTCCCATGCTTATAAACGATGATATGAAGCAGTAAAGAATAGTAAAAAATAAAATAAAATAAAAATTAGCATTAGATAACAAACATGAGATTGCAACAAGTTCAGCATTTTAGGCTTTTTAGCCTGGCCAGGACTAGAAGGGTCTGCCCTGTGGAGGGAAAGAACAGAAAACAGGCAGGAAGGGTGTGTTGTCAGGGCAACAGGCATGCATGTGGTCATGGGATCAAAGTCGACCTATCAGGAAAGTGGTAGCAGTAACTTCATCCTTGCAGTTTTATTATTATTATTATCATTTTGAGTTTTTTGTCCTCTCTTCAGTCCCATAACAGAGCAACACATAGAACAAAAACAAAAAATACCTTATTCCTATGATAGCAATACATTTGTAAAATTATAAGCAGCGTCTGCTAAGCAGCCGACTGCAGAGTGGCTACAGATACACTCACTCACTAGTTAGCCAATATCAACTTGCTGTTTGCGCAGTGTAAGTTTTAAATCTATTTTTAATGAAAAAATAGATTTTCCTAATAAAAAAGGTTTATTGATCTGCAGAAAACAGCTTGAAAACTATCACTTAAATTTAGCTGGTGTTAGCTCAGCAGTTTTTTTTTTTTTGTCTATTTATCAGAGAAATAAAATTATATATTTTTTATAGCAACAATAGTACAAATTGTAGCTTTTTTGTTTGAAATAAAAACTATTTGATCATGTTCTATAATTAACTTACAACTGAATTATAAAGATTCCACGAAATCATGCTACTTTCACTCAATCAAAGTATTATTACATCCAATGCAGTCACGTTAATAGTAAACCTATAATTGTTATCGATCTCAAAGATGACACAGGCAATCAACTTGTCAGACTTTGCGAAACGAAAAGCAAACAACTTTTTAAGAGCTTAATAAAACCGTTCATTTAAACACCTTAGAAACACATCAGCTGTGGGTAAACAGATTGATTGAGGAAATGCTTTTTTACCCAACACTGTAGAGAGGGAGAGGAAAAACCCGGAGGCTATTCTAAAAGCTCACACACTCTGTGCTGATGCGACGTATTGTGTGCCGAACTTTCTCTGCACAAGAACACACATGTAATCCTCAGCTGGCGTCTGCTCCACGGGACGATATGGGAATAGCTGAGCAGCTTGAGTCACTGTCTGAATGCTGTTAGCTGCACCTCATGGAGCCCCGACAGTAAATCATCGCCGCCCTTGACCACTGAGCCTGAGCCAAAAGTGGGAAACCGATTCCCGTTGCTGTGAAGTGGCGAAGTGCCACTGCGGCGGCATCACCACTTCTTACTGGGGAAAGCTGAATTAGATCATGTTCCCTGAAAGATGACGAAGCTGGAGTTTGGTCTCAGTTCCATGTTAGTAAATGACTATGTTTGTTACAAATGGTTTGTAACGGGTACACCACGCTGGTGAAATTTGTAATTGTCAATGTCATGTTATTTATTTTTACAGTTTTTGAATAGAATACAAATCACCTATGCTTTAACGAGTGAGTGGATAGTCTTGCCGTGTATACTCTGTTGGAATCAAGAGAGAACTGTGCAACATTAGGAAGACATAAAATTGAAAAATTATTGTTTAATATTGCTCTTGGATTACTCAAAATGTCTTTATAGTCATCACAATGTTTCTCATTCACCGTCTACATATTAGATCTCGGCGAATGAGTTGGATTCCGGATTGAACTAGAGATGTGATACAGAATCTCTAGTTCTTCTTACTGATTTCAATAATGTTTTTTTAGGTTAATATGGGCTTTTAAACAGGACAGTTATTATCGACAAACCCAAATTAATGAAGCAAGATGTTAATTGTTCTCTTAACATAGGTTTGTTAAGATTGGTGATTTCGGAGGCAATTACAGAAGAACATCAATGTAAACGTTTTGTTTATCTCTGTGACTTTTTTGCATGTTTGTTGCTCCGAATGAACCCCTCATTTTGCACCCAGACTATTATGGATAAACAAAGTTGCTTAGCCTAATTTTGGAGAAAACTAAGGATTCAAACTTTTTTTTTTTTTCAGAAATAAAAATACCAAACCTGTGTTTTGAAGAATCATACATTGAAAACCCTGGGGGCAAGGGGTCCCCGCAGAGAAGGCTTTTATAAATCTCAAAAGTGATGTTAAAGAATCTCATTTCTGTGTAAAATGTTTCAGATCAGATTCATTGAGATGATTAAGTGAAGTTTAAAAAACAAAACAAAAAACTAGAATAGCCCTCAGACAGAGGCACCCTTATTGATATAGCACATTTAATACTGCAATCACAGACTCAAAGTACCATAAAGGATAATAAATTTAGTAAATCATATAAACAAGAGTACGATCGCACAATAAATCAAGAGAGTAAGGCAATGAGTAAACAATAAAACATCCTAGTAAAATGACTGAGTCTTTCTAAAAGCTTGGAAAAACCGATCATAACAACCTCTAAAACGATTATATTAAATTGTCCGCTGTAATAATTAAAAATAAACTCATAAATACACCAGTCTCGCTTTAAAAAAAAAAACGTAAATATTTATAGTTTTTACTATCTAGCTACTCGACGTTATGCCATAACATCCTTTCAGAAACACTTTTACGCAATCCTCAACTTGAGAGTTATTGCAAGCAGTTTCACTTCACCTTTTAAAGGGTCACGCCGCTATATTCTTCAAAAAGCGACCACAGTGGCCTCCTTTTAAAATCTGCGACCGACGGCTTCCGTGGAGCCACGAGACTTGACGAAAACTCACGAGCCGTTTGCAAGTATGCACTCCCGAGTTCACGCTACCATTTTGAGCGTCTTAAAGCGTCCGTAGCCGTGTGGTTTGTGTCATTCGGCAGCCTGGGCAAAGTTTGTATGAGCAGCTCGCTAAGTTTAGCATTAGTGAAGGCGGCCATAGATCCGCCGCCATATGCCAGGGACGTCAGCACGCTGACCAAGAATTTGCAACGTAACCCGTTTCAGGCTGAAGCTGCGGAAAAAAATACGAGGTTATCGGTGCGTTGTTTTGCTCCCACGCGTCGATGCACGAAAATCAATCTTTGGGTTTGAGGAACTCACCAGCCAGCAGCTGTCCTGCAGAGTCTCTGCTGCTGGTTCCTTCCAAGTCTATTAGAGGTCAACAGTGGCAAGCGTCTCAGAGTAAACACTCCCCTTTTGCGGTTGCACAGTTGAGATATGGAGAGGATGTTGTTGTTGTTATTATTTTTTTGTTGTTGATTGAAACTGTTTGTAAGAATTGATTCCTCTTCTTCTCCTTCTCCTCCCGCTGCTCCTCCTGCAGGCAGCGTTTAATCCAGGCTGTCTGTCAACACGAGGTCAAACCCTGTTTCCCAACTTCATGTAGCAGCCAGAGCCACTTATTGGAGCAACCTTTCACACGGCTCACCTGAACAGTTTACTTTCCCGCCCCCTCGGTTCTTATTCCTGAAGTCATTGCTATGCATCTACACGGTATAACCTCGGATTTGCAGGGCTCTGGTTGTATTTTTTCCTCTATTAAGCCCCGCCCACTCTTTCTCATTGGCTCTTGATAGTTTGTTTACAGTCGAGAGAGTTATATCCGGGAGGCCCCATGTTGTTCCTGAAGGAAAGCAGTACAGATAAGCTCTGGCGGCTGTCAGTTGCATGTCAGGTGAATGACCTTCACACGCATACAGATTTACACTCAAAATATACATATGTCCAAGTGTTGTGCCAGCAGGAAGCAACACAAAAGCAGCAAAATAACTTATCACTCTCATTTCTGACTAACTGGTTTTTTGGTGCCATCTGCTGGTGGTAAGACGACAGCGCGGTGACGTGGACTCTTGTTTTTCCGCTTAACTTGGCGGTGTGCAGAGTTTGACGTTTCATACGTCTGTAAAGTCTCGTCTTTGAAAGATGGGTAATAAAAAAAAAAAAGTGCGCAGGATTGTAGCTATGGGCATATACAGTCCTGAAGAATTTTAGGAAGGGGATTTTTAAAGAGTGTGAGATAAATGTAAGTTGTTTCTCTGGAAAATAATCCAAACTCTAAAGCTTGAACCAAAGCTAATATTTTGTCTTTTTACACTACTTTCTTTATTATTATAAAGAAAGTAGTCTTTATATTCTTACGAATCAAAGAATAAAGTGTAGTGAATTGCAATTATGTGCAACTTTATAAAATTGTCGCATGTTCACACCCTTTTAATTTCTATTTAGGTCAGGTGATTTATGAAACATGTTTTCTATAGTCTACTGTCATCCTACTATAAGGAAATGTTAATGCACAACACAACGATAAACACAGAGATTGACTTCTTTTCTGATTATATTAGTCAAGGATTTGAAATAAAACTTATAGAAAAATGTGTAACAACAATTGAATAAAATATGCTATTAAATTAAATTGCGATTTGAGCACGTTTGTGATTACTCATGTCAACACTTCATAAAAATACTTTATGAACTAACATAAGCTGACAGCTTTTCAGAAAGCCTGTTACTGTCAGTGTATTGACAGTAGAGGGCGCCACTAACCTTTGTTATGATTCATAAACGTTTGTCACCTATGTCTCCAAGTAAAAATACATTTCTGCATCCTCTTAAGTTAGCATGTCTTCTGTAGAACTCTGTAGAGAGTACAAAATGTACTCATACATTTTGTGAAAAATTACTAGAAATAAAAAAAGCACAAATAAATAATCAATACAAATTGTTTGATACATTAAATCAACATTGAGGTAAAATTGTGATTTCAAATTCTAGAAAACAGTACTTCAGTTCTGACACCTACAATAAATTGCAATAAAAATGCAAAATGGAATTACAATTAGCTCAATATGGGAGAAAAAAGTAAAAGCATCTAAAGTTTCTTTCTTTAGCAAACACTCTTGAGGACTGAGCTTGAGTCCGTCGCCTCACACACACACAAAAAGAGGTGCGCATGTACAGCTTCTCTGGCCAAAAGCACTCACGAATCACGTCTTCTCTTTCCCAGCAACTCCGGATGCTGCTGCTGTTGTGGACAGGTGTGATTTGAATGGCAAATAAGCTTCATGCAAACCCAGCAATTAGTGTGGGTAAGGAGTGCAGCGTTGGAGGGGTCATAGTTTCAGAAAAAGTGAAATGCACAAGATGGATAGATGGATCGATAGATAGTTAGAAAAATATCACACACAAACATGTTTCACCACAAATGTATTTTTAAAGGAACAGTCCGAAAAATAAATACACAAACCAGCAACACTATAAACCTTTAACACCTACATTACACATCTGTAAGTGCACACAAAGGAAAACAGGCAATATTTATGCCTGCTAGCTCTGAAATGAATAGTTAGCATATTTCATTAAAACAGCCCAGACACGATTGTGATGTCTACCTGTTTCCTTAAGAAGGCACGGCGTTAACTTACAGTAATTCCTTATTTACTGTAACAGCAAATGTTTAATAAAGGCCAACCTGTGAAGAACGTTATTTCCTTCTCATCTACCAAATGATTCTAAAATCAACACCAAACATATCAATCTCATATATATATATATATATTGTTTTAAATGCGTATTGTTTTTTTTAAAGTCATATCCCCAATTTCCCTACTCCGTGATTACTTCTTTAAATCCAACATGTTTAATGACAAATCCAGATATACCATTATTAAAAAAAAAAAAAAAAAATTAAAGCCTCCCACAGAATACATTGTGTTGTTTAAATAAAATCAGAACAATTTACAAAGTAATAAACATTTAAGAGAATAATAAACATGCACCCATGTTAGACTAAGCAAAGAAATCCATATTTATACCTAAAAACAAAAACCAAAAATTTTTTTTTCCCGCTTTCTGACTTGGCTTTGTAACGTCAAGGCACTGTGTAGCTTAAATAGGATTGTTCATGGCTGTAAGTGTTCCACAGGATTTAACAACAACTATGTTACAGTAAAAACCAAAACAAAACTACATAAAACTAAATAATAAATCTTTCTGTACACCGCATGAACTACCCAGAGCAACCAAAGAGAAACGTGTCAAGTGTTATAATAATGTCACAATTCATAACACTTCAAAACTACTGGGAAATGCGCTTTGTTTTCCTCTGTCGTGCCTCCTCATGGTGAGTAATTCCCAGACGACTGTGAATCAAACAACATGTTCTAGCTTAACTTTGACTCTGTCTGGGTGTAAAACTGTTGGGCTAATTTTTCTTTATATGTAGTTTTTAAACACACTTAATTGTACTAACTCTTTCCATGGGTTCCCCGTTGAAATTGATGTTTAAAATTGCATTAAAACAAAAAAGAAAAGAAAATACAATAAAAACAGAGTTACATTTTGTGGCTTAACGATGCTTAAATTGGCAATCTTGAACATTTTCATTTAATTGAATTTCTTAGATTTGAATTGCTGAACGACGTGGCTCAGTAGTGCTTGCACATACGCCTCACTGAACAACAGTACTTCTGTGTTTTACAGTATCGGAAAACCTAGTGGTATTTAAAAATAGCTCCTTTTATTTGAATATGAAGAATCTGCAAACAAGAAACACAATTTAAGCATCTGAGCATTTTTTTTTAGCTGTGTAACAACAGCTAACAATCTTTTCCCTCAAATCACTGGCTAACATTTATTCCAAAACTATTATATTATAATTACTATTCACTGGAACTGTTTATCCTGGTCCAAGTGTATATTCCATTATCTACATACTACTTTGCATTTTCAGAAATCACAAGCACACTAATAGCCAAGACATCAACAAATTGGAACATTTCCTGAAAAACTGCCAGATCCAGTTATTCCTAATGACAAGTAAACATACCATGCTGCTGCAGCTTCACAGCACAAATATTTAACCTGTTAAACAGCTGCTGAGATCAGATAAGGCAGTCACCTTAAATGCAATGTGTGTGTGTGTGTGTGTGTGTGTGTGTGTGTGTGTGTGTGTGTGTGTGAGACTGAGAAGGATCAAGCATTATTATTGGAAGAGCTCTAGAAAGTGAAACACTTTGTAGCTGCAAGACAGTATTGTAACTCACAATTATGCTCGTAGTGAGAGCAAATACAATTATTGACGAGACTAAATATTGAGTGAAAATGAATGTGAGATTTAGAGGTTTGACAATAAAGCATGGTTGAAATGTTAAAGATTGCCATTTTAAGCTCAAATATGGGTCAGATCTTTTTTTTTTAGCCCTAGAATTATTTTTCTGATTCAACACCATCAAAATAAAGCAGGACAGCAGAAGTGGAGGTGTGTTAGATATCTAGTCAAAGTCCTGCCAAATTTATATAAAATGCATTTTTAAAAAATTTATTTCTTGGGATTTTCTAAAAGAAAAAAAAAATTTAAAGGAAGCCCAAAACAACAAGCTGCACCAAACTACTGCTCTAATAGTGCCTTGCAGAAGTATAGTATACGGCTTGAGCTATTTCACTTTCTGTCACATTACAGCCACAAAACTTTATGTATTTTATTGAGATTTTATGTGAAAGACCAAAACAAAGTAGTCGTTAATTATAAATTGGAAGAAGGCATGTTTTTAAAAACTTTTTTTTTTTTTACAAAAACACCGTAAGAAGACGAGCTTATGTTTGGATTCAGTCTCCTTTTAAACGAAGAAAGACATTGTTGAAAGAAAGGCTGAGTATAATCTTCCTGCAGGAACTTTAAAAATGCATCCAGAGATGAAACAGGATCAAGGCAAATCCATGTGTTCGAATGGCCCAGTCAAAGTCCTAACCTAAAACAAATTCAGAATCTGTCTTGGAAATTGGCATTTACTGATGCCTCCATCCTGTCAGACTGAGCTTAAGCTATTTTTCAAAGAATGGGCAAAAACATCTAGTAAGTAGTTGAGCAAAGACGTGTTAAGTGGTTCTACAAAGCTTTGATTGATCAAAGCTGAATACGTACGGATGCACGTTATTTCATATTTTCATTTGCAGAAAATGTAAAAAAAAAACATTTATTTTTCTTACACTTCAAGATTACGTTACTTCATGTTGGTCTGTCAGATATCCAGATAAAAACACACTGAAGTTTGTTAGTGTAACGTGACAAAATGTTAAAAAGTTTCATAAAGCACAGCGCATAATATAATAGAATGCTGAGGCTCTCATTAACAATTAAATATTAGGTAACCTCTTGTTGGTTTAGGCCTTTGCGGAGAATTTATTTATAATATTAAAGTACGTCAACAGGTCTTAGTTTGTATTAGGCAAGAAGATTCGTATTGTTTGCTTTTCAATGGGAATTTCTTAAGTAAAAGGTTATGCTGTCAAAATGAGGTTATATAAGATTGACCTTTTTCCCCATGTTTAAACCACAGCACAAAATAACTCAATTATGAGGAACTGAGGCGCTGTCGCTGTTAGTAGTTCCACTTGTGAGGAACTAAGAGGAGCTGGACCATACGGTTTGCGTCGTGAGCTAAAGTGTCAGTGTTTCAAAGGTTTCTCCAGGAGAGTGAAGTATGAATGGAAGCTTTAATGGTGGTGTGTCCAAAAGTTTACTTGGTTCAAAAACAAAACCTTCAGACTTCAAGTCTCAGAGTCCACCATGGAGGAGAAGATGTCCACCAAGCTGTCGAGTCCGTAAAGGTAGCCGTCCTCTCTGTTCCCTTCTACCCATGATGCTCGGTGGGTTAGTTCCTCCCCGTCAGGGAGGGGCGTGGTCTTTCCAAAGTCGATCATCCACACTTTGGCGCGCTTCCTGCTGTCGTGAACAAATAAGAGCGAGCTGCCGATGACCTGCGAAGACACACAACAGCCATATGATCCAAGAGAACTGGACACAAAGACCAGAACCGAGCAGGGCTCCCACCGTTATTTGCTCAGCAGAACACGCCTTGTTTGTTTCTTTTCAAAACATTATCTCACTTCTCGTTTCAGCTTCATGCGAAATGTCTGTCTGTGTGTGTGTGAGTGCGTGTTTGCGAAAGTGTGAAAATGTGCGCGAGCGTGTGGTCAGGCAGTTAAGAGCCTAATTTCCATGATGAGTCTTGCTGTGTCTAAGTGATTTGGTGTCTTTACTTTACATTAACAACATAAACTGAGTAAACAGGTAACTAGGACTGGAGCTAACGCACGGATTAAATCCACAACTGGCTTGTGTTTAACTCCCATCAGCTCCAACGGAAATAATAAAGCTGCAAAAAGACTTTTGCTAAAATCCATACATCAGTGACAAAGCAAAAAAAAAAAAAAAAAAAGGATGCATTTAACATATTTTTCAGAAATATAATCTTACATGCAATCTATATAATCTTACATGCATAAATACACAGAGCATATTTTCAGTGTTTTGTTTCAACATGAGCAAGAATTTTATTTTTTTTCTTTTGCAAGTTTTACAAACCAACTTTTTAAATGTTTCCCCTACTAGCTGCGTGTCTTTACCTCATGACTTCTGAAGAACGGAGAGATCTCCAAAGTGGCTCGAATTTCCTTTAACCTCGTTAGATATTTGTTCTGGAAAATAATACAAATAAAGAACAAAATTAGTCTGACATGTGCTTAGCAGAGGAAAACAGGCCCTGTTTTAAGCTTTATTCAGCCTCCAGTCAACTTTGACCATCTTTCTAGTCCCCACTGATGGAAAGCTTCCCCACACCATGATGCTGCCACCACCGTGTTTCACTGTAAATGTGGTGAGCAGTGTTAGGTGTTAGGATTTCACCACACGTAGCATTTTGTTTGAAGACCAGAAAGATTTTCTGTCTCAACCATGCAGAGCATCTTCTTT